TGTGTGTGTGAGAGAGGAGAAAAAGAGAGTGTGAATAAAACAAGTGTAATAGTGACGCTCACAAACCTAACGTGTGAAGACTCACAAGCTTTCACACTTCTGCAAATAGCGTTTTCACCTAGTTGCCAGTCAGTATCATCCATCAGCTGCTGTTTATTATTTTTTCTGCCTAAGTCATGTTCATTCAGCTTTGTCTGTGGTGGATCTCAGACGCAGCAGTAACTCGTGGCTGGTATGAGATAAATAAGAAATATTAAAAGTAGAAGAGATTAAGAATAAACTCATGGACACGAGTTTAATCGATCCTCTTAAATTCTGAAATAAAAAATGTGTAATGCTGTTTGTATTGTTATGTACCGTAGCCACTGTGTAGCCACTTCATTAGGTACACTTGTTGATGTGCTCATTAACACAAATATCTACTTAGATAATAATATGGCAGCAACTCAGTGCATTTAGACATGTAGTCATGGTTAAGATGACCTGCTGAAGATCAAACTAGGCATGAGAATGGGGATGAAAGGTGATTTAATTGACTTTGAAAGTGGGATGGCTGTTGGAGCCAGATAGATCTACTCGGATTTTCCCGCGCAGCCACCCGAAGGTTTAAAGACAACAGTGCGAAAAAGAGCAAATATCCAGTGAGCAGCAGCTCTCTGGGTGAAAAGGCCTCGCTGACAGACTGCTTTAAGCTACCAGGAAGGCAACAGTAACTAAAAAAACAAGAAAAAGCAAGCTCTTGTTACAACCAAGGTATGAAGAAGAGCATCTCTGAATGCACAGCACGTGGAACGTGGAAGCAGATGGACGAGCAGCAGACGAGCCGCATGCCGCTCCTGTCAGCTAAGAACAGGAAACTGAGGCTAAAGTTCAGACAGTAGACCCAAATGTTGCCTGAGCTGATGTGTCTCGATTTCTACTGAAACATTTGAATGGGAGTTGTATTAATGGTTCAGACTTCTGGTGGTGGTGTAGAGTTGTGGGGGATTTTCTTGGCATACATTCGGCCTCTTAGTACCAGCTGAGCATAGTGCTGTTGCTGATCATATCCATAACTTTATGACCACAGTATTTCTTATATAGCACGTGTACCTAATAAAGTGGTCAGTGAGCGTATACGCGTGTATATGATGTTAACATAAATGCAGGTTGCCTGTCATGGTGACATCTTTACCAGCTTACTTACTCACTAACTCCTCTGTGTGCTCCTCACATTGTTGTTCCACATGTGAAGCTAACCGAGCTGGATGCTTTTCAATGAGACGAATCACATTGTTGGATCAGCTGCTGAGCAAAAGAAAGACTTTCAGATAATCTCCACAACTGACTCAGTCTCAAAATCCAATTCGTTTTTGAAGCCCTTTACAGCTTTATTGACCTAACTGTGTTTTCCTTCTATTCATGTGTGGCTGCGGCGAGGGAGAGGATGGCCTGTCGCGAGCGCTAAAGTGGAAACAAAGGCAGAATGTGAGAGTGCCGAGACAGACAGATTGTGTTTTTCTGAGTCGACCCGCTCCTCTGCTGTCGCACACTTGGTTTCTACCAGACTGACTTCTGGTGCATCACAGTTGGAGATCTAAAGTGTGTGCCTCGCAGCCTCCCACCTTGTGCCAGTGTTGAAAAAATAAGATTTATTTTCACTTCCTTCCTCTCTAGAAAATGTTAATAAGGAAAGCAGCTGCTCTGGTACGCCAGGTTTGGACAGAGTGGGAGGTGTGAGGTGTGTGGAGGAGGATGTTTGATTTGACACCTGACTGTTCCTGCTCTGCAGGTCCTTTGTGCCCAATTAATGTCAGTTAGCATCCAAAAACAAAACCGTTCTCTGCATGACACAGATTCTGTGAAAACCTTTTAACTCCCTGCAGGGCTTTTCATATTGCAAATTAATTCTGACCTCTGACAGCTGAGAGAGTCTTACATTCTTGAGGTTTATGTAATCCTTTGCAAGGCCACAGAAAGACGTTTAAATACAGCACAAAGACAAACTGCCTTAGTTACGAAGTTAAAAGCAAAAGCAACCAGTGCAGTCAGATTTGGCAACCAATAAAAACCTAATTGTTCATCAGCTGAATATTAACACTTTCTATTGTGTTTGTTTTAATCCACACACAAACTTAGTTGTAGTTTTATGACAAGCTACATGCTGACATTGAGCCTCAGAGGCAGGCTGGCAGATTTTGCACAGAGATCTATAGTAGTTACACGCAAATGTCAACTGCTGCATTCATATTATGGGCAGACGATTCTCTCTCTCTCTCTCTCT